TGGATGGAGGGGACATAGCCTCCACTTCCTGCCTTTGCTTTCCTCTAGTGACCTCTTCATCTGAGGCCAGAGCAAAAAGTGTGGTTGAGCATCTCCACAGAAACTGCTCCAGCGCCGGGCTCACCCAATCACACAGCCACATGCCACACAGGGGGTGCTATCCTAGGATGTCTTCCCCATGGGAGGTGCCCTTCCTCCACCAGACAAGGTAACCTCAACCAAGTGGCTCACCGAACCTGCTCAGGCATCCATCTCCCTGAGCACCGTCAAAGGCTCAAAACACATGACAAACCTCGCCAATCACACCTCCACCTTCTGGCTGTTGTGGAATAGAGCTCAGTGACACGGAGACCCTGAGTGAAGTAATAATCTCGTGTCCCCACCCCCCCAACACACCCGCTCACTGCTCCTTGTCCCTAGCTCCAAATTCCCGAGGCAGAGCCAGCACTTGCAGTCCCAGAGCCACGGCATGTCCTGGGTCCTAGAGCCCATGTAGTCAGGAAAACAGCCAGCCTGGTTTTGAGTTAGGCCTCCTCCTAGCGGAGAGCCTAGAAGGATGGAAGAGGCCCCACAACTCCTGCGTGCCTGTCTGGGTTCCCGGAAGCAGAGGTAGGCACCAGTGCGGGGCTCAGAGAAAATCTTCTCCCACGTGAATGGCTTTTGTCAAAGAGAGAATCTGTGGAATGTTTTTAAGTGGCAAGCCATCATTTATTTACAGAGAAGGGTACCATTTAAAAAAAAAATCAGGAATCCTCTGGGAGCACCAAATTTTCTATAATACTGCTTTCATGATCAGAGAACACAACACTAAGTATTACACAAAATTACAAAAAGACTTGGGTTTGCCTTTTAAGGACACATGATCAAGAATCAGGCCTCCTATGGGCGCCTGGGTGGCTCAGTTGGTTAAGCGACTGCCTTCGGCTCAGGTCATGATCCTAGAGTCCTGGGATTGAGTCCCACATCGGGCTCCCTGCTCAGCGGGGAGTCTGCTTCTCCCTCTGACCCTCTCCCCTCTCATGCTATCTCTCATTCTCTCTCTCAAATAAATAAATAAAATCTTTAAAAAAAAAAAAAAGAATCAGGCCTCCTAAACAAAAGCAAAGGAAGAACTCCAAAAAACCTTGTGAATCCAGGACCACTTAAAAGAGCCTAAGGGGGCACCTGGGTGGGTGAGTTGGTTTTGTCTGTCTTCAGCTCACGTTGTGATTCCAGGGTCATGGGATGGAGCCCCGCATTGCGTCGGGCTCCCTGCTCAGCGGGGAGCTGGCTTCTACCTCTCCCTGCACCCTCCCACCCCCCGCTTGAGCTCTCTTGCTCTCTCAAATAAATAAAATTAAAAAAAAAAAAAAAAGCCTTGCTATATAGATGATGGGAGATGTGGGATCAGTTTCCTTTGTTAACTTTCTTGTTCCTTCTGTCCCTTAACTAAGAGCATTCACCTGGCTCAGCCCCCAACATCCTGTGTCTCTCTACACTCCCCTTGGAGAGCTTTCATTCTCCTGGCTCCAACCCTTACCCCTGTGCTAGGGACTTCCTCCCCATCTCCCAGATATCTAACTCATCCCTTTGTCTGCCACTTGGACGATGCACCATCACCTCTCAGTATGTTGAGAATTGAAGCCCTCTTCCCAAACCTTGCTGTTAGTGATGCAGGTATTCTTCTGGTCACTCAGGTCTGTAACCTTGGCATGGCTGCAGAGACCAAAGTCTCCTCCTCCCGCCCTCCCCGCTCCCTGCCGGCTCCGCCAACGCATTCTTTTATCACATCTGGGTCAACCTTCCACACAACACTGCTTTCACTGTTACTTCCCTGCTCAAACTTTCTGATACCCAACTGAACAACTCCAGGTAGTTATTGAGGCCACTGTGGTCTGACCCCATACTACCTGTTCAAACCTGTTTTCCACTACTCGAGTTAACAGAAGCATCTGTCACGTATTACAAGTGGGCTTTGCATTCTGTCTCAATTTTCATATAACTAACTAGAAGCCAAAGAGGCAAACATTATCCCTATTTTGTACTCTGAGACTGTCACAGGCACAAGGTCATACCAACAAAAACTGGAGTAACAAGAACTAGTCCCAGAACTTCAAACTTGTCTTTTGCAAACTGCACTGTAACCTGGACACATGCCGTTCTTGGCTTCAGCTCAGCAAACCCACACGGAGGGCCCACTCCAGAAAGGCTCTGTTTAATGCATCAGTGGGTACGAGTAAGAATTTCTGCACTTGTTTACTCTGAATGGAAAGAAGGTAGTTCCCTCCGGAACGGATGACGAGGCTGAGGCCAGAGTGCCAACAGCGGACCAGGTGTGCCAACTGAATGACATGCATGAGTGCAGCCCAGAAGGGACTGGAGATCTGATTTGAACATCAGGTAACATTTCCAAGCATGTACCTTTTTTTTTTTTGTAACCGAGCTTTATGCCCAACATGTGGATTGAACTCAGGACCCTGATATCAAGAGCCACATGCTCTACGAACTGAGCGAGCCAGGCACTCCTGAGCAGTTACCATTTGGAAATGGCAGTGAAAATAGTTTCTCAAAACTGTGGTGGCAGGGAGGGTGCTCCAGGCAGAGGAAACAGCATGCCTACTTCAACTCCCCCTGCCTTTCAAGGCTCTCCGTGCAGTATTCCTGGACTAGTCTAGAGCTGACTCCTCCCCCCGACTCTACCATTATTTTGTATCATAACTTGAAAGAATTCCTGTTCATCTTGTTTCCAAAGTCACTCGTCTTCCCAATTAGATTTTAAGGTCCTTGATGCAAGAATGAGCTCCCACTTCCATTCTGTCCAGGCATCTCTATGCCAACGATGGCTTTTGCCCACACCAACTGTGGGAAGGGCTCTGAATTCCCCAAAACACTTCACTTTCACTGTTTTGACTACTGAGATTCAACATAAAGGAAGTTTGCTGTAAGGTCTTGTCTCTCTCCCTTCTACCAGGCTTAGGTTCTCCTCAGGGAAGAGTCTGTCTGGTTTAACAAGATGGAAATGGAGGCGCCTGGGCGGCTCAATCGGTTAAGTGTCTGACTTCGGCTCTGGCAGTGATCCCTGGGTCCTGGAATTAAGCCCTGGGTCTGGCTCCGCGCTCAGCAGGGAGTCGGCTTCTCCCTCTTCCCACCCCCCGCCCGGTCCTGTGCGTGTGCATGGTCTCTAATAAATAAAATCTTTAAAAAAAAAAACACAGAAAACACAATCTGGAAGTGTACTGGTGAGGGTGTGGGGATACAGGCATCCCCGTATATTGCTGGCGGGAGCGTAACTGAGCAGCTTCTATGGAGGACATCAAAATCAAAGACATGCTATTCCAGCAGTACCACTGTAAAGGATACACCCACAGCAGCACGGGCCTGTTTGCAGCCCAAGAAAACATAGAGCCACTTCTGTCATTCGGGCACTGATTAAATCACTAGGCATCCACACAAACGATCTGAGACATAGTAAATGGAAAAATGAGGTACAGGACAGTAAGCACAGTGTCCCCATGCCTATGCCCAAAATATTCCTGGAAAGGAAATGGCCTTGGGGGGAGAGAAATAGGGTGGCTGGAGATAGGTTTTGGAAAGGAGACCAGACCTTTAAATTCTGAACCATGTGCCTGTATAATTTTTTTAAAAAATTATGCATCAGGGGCACCTTGGTGACACAGTCGGTTAAGCAACTGACTCTTGGCTTCAGCTCCGGTCCTGATCTCAGGATCGTGAAATCGAGCCCCGCGTCTGGCTCCGCACTCAGCAAAGAGCCTGCTTCAGGTTCTCTCTCCCTTTCCCTCTGCCCCTCGCACTCATGCTCTCTCAAATAAATAAATCAATCTTAAAAAAAAAAAAATAGGGGCGCCTGGATGGCTCAGTTGGTTAAGTGTCTGCCTTTGGCTCAGGTCATGATCCCAAGGTCCTGGGATTGAGTCCTGCGTCAGGCTCCCTGCTCCGTGGGGAATCTGCTTCTCCCTCTGCCTCTGCTGCTCCCCCTGCTTGTGCTCTCTCGCTGTCAAATAAATAAATAAAATCTTTAAAAAATAAAAATTAAAAAAAAAGTATGTATCAAATAACGTTCTAAAAATGTCTTCAACATTATGGCAAAAAAACTGCCTTTTAAACCCCAGAAACAGAAGGTCTAGAAAAGTTAATGAGTGACACCCCCCCAGTTGTTCCTCTGAGAACAGAACCGTCTCTTCCCCCTGCTTAAGTCCTCCTGCCCAAGCTCGGCATTCACTGGCTGTCTATGGTTGTTGAATGGATGAAATTTACTTTCCCATCTAAAAGTAAAGCATTCCGCAAACAAGAGGAATTGCAAAACAGTGACAGGATTGGCAGGGAGATGCAGCGTGGCTGAGAATTGCTTTTGCCTCATGTACTATTCACCTTCCATTCACAGAGCACCATGTGCAAGGCCGTGCCGGGGCTGAGGTGTGGGCTCTACCCTTGGCCTACCAGGAGACAGAAGAGACTGTACACAAAGAACAGAAAAGCTACATGAGTTTTAAAATCAGGAATTTCTGAAGCAGCTTATTACTAGTAGCTGAAAACCAGTGGCCTTAGGATCACAAATACAAAGGCTACAAGCTCAGAAGATGTCATTTATTCAGGAGAAGATATGAAAATGAAGAAAGCAGAATGGTTGGTAAGGTCTCATCACCACATCTCCACACCAGGGAGGCAGGTGGATGCCAGTGGATCACGGCATCTAAATGAGCTGGCCCCCCTCCTGGCAATCCAGTTATCTACAGATGTCCTCTGAATTCAGTCTTCAGCTGGATGTAATCACTTATTCATTCAAATCTTTACTGAGCAGACTAGGTTCGGGCCTATGCTAATTGTCTCCAGCACTCTCAACCTAATCTATGAGATTAAAGCTATAGTTTTGACCTTTGTCTTTCATCAATGACAGGTTCTCACTCTTACCACAAAGCACAAGTCAACTTCACCTCTCAAGTTGAAGATCAATAGTTCTATAGCAAAATGTGAAGATTATCTGCAGACAGAAAGTTGGCCCAGGGGACATACCATATGCACAAGTAAAAGCCTGATGGAGCCAGAAAAGAGATACCCGAGAATCAGATATAGCCAACCCACATGTTAACACAGAAATCCAAGCAGACCTACTCAGAACAAGTCCCATTCAAACCATACTTATAAAGGTTTCTTCATGCTATTTACAATTTTAAAGTAAATTTACTTTATAAGCAGCCAGGGAATTCTTTATTTAACACCATCCTAACATAAAAGTTCATTCAAACCATGAAACTGAGCTTTATGACAACCTAGAATTAGAAACTAAAAGAAGGCAAACATAATGCCTGAGAGACTGGGAAACATTTACACAGTCCAACTGTTAAAAACAGTTCAACATTCATCTAGTGAATACAGTTTGGATGTCAGTATACCCGGTATACAAGTTCTTCAGGGAGGTGAGAGACCTTTCGGCTGTTCTTCAGATGTCTCCAAATGCTGGTCCTGTGGAACTTCTTGCAGAGGCTGGTTTTTTTCCAATACCGTTTGGGGTTTGACACCCGTGGGTTCAGATTCCCAGGAAACGTGACTACCTTCCTTTTGCTTAAAAGACCAGACATAAATACATGACACAGATGTCACTTTCACTCCACTGACTGGCTGAAGCTGTATGACTAAACACATTCTATCATGGAGTCAAAACGTAACATTAATGTCCCAGGTCAAATTCTATTACAACAAGCAATATACATGATAAAAATCTCTAGAGAACCATAATTTCAAAAGCCCTAATGACAACTCACTTGTTCCAAGTAGCAGTCGCTATCACAAAATTTTAGTGTGTGTGTACACATTTTTTTTTTTTTTTAATTTCAGTATATTTCATCTACCAGTATTTGACCTGGTGTTCAGGGACATAAATCAAGGTTGGAGAAGGAAAACCAAGTCCTCCTTTAACTTCTAACAAATAGACAACTAACCCTAATAACAATTTTAATCAAAAAATACTCACAGTCCTTGCTTCTCCTACTCTTCTCAAAATGACACCTGCTGCCAATAAAGCCTTCCCTGTTTCCACAAATAACTTCTCTTCATCTGTTTCTCCAAGCTTCTGTAGCTCAATGTACTTCTCCACAAACCTGGAATTCCAAGCAGACCACATCTGAGGGCTGTATATTGAGAGTCATCAAGACATGCTATTACACAGTATCAAGCATTCCCTTAACATGTCTTCCTAGAGGAGCGGCTTTTCCCTGCAGTGGAATTCAACAAAACTCCTCAAACCAATAACTAAATTCCTTAAAAAACAAAACAAAACAAAAACTAACCCACGAATTGTAAAATGGCTTACTGTTGACAGGTAGACTTGAAATTTGGATTGAACAGATCAAAAGCTTTCTGACCAGATCCATAGGCTGAATAAAATTTCCTAGAAAATACAAACAACACAATATAAATCTCCATTTACAGATCACGGCCAAGAACGGAGTAAAGAAAAATTACTAGTCCAAACATAAGCTTTTTTTTTTTTTTTAAATAAGTAGCGCATGCACATGGCAAATAAACCAATTACAAAAAGGTACCCAATGAAAAGTTAACATTCCTGCTCACCTCTGCCCCCAACCCCCAGTTCCCTCCCAGGAAGCAACACTAACCAGTTTTTTGTGTATCCATCCAAGAATATTCTAACGTACAAGCATATATACATCTATCATTTCCTGTCCCCAGCCATATAGTTTAACTCCAAGGACAAAAACACTATTGTACATCCTGCCTCTTCTACTTAATAGTTCTTAGAGATCATTTGAAATCAGTGAACTTAGATTGTTCCCAATCCTTTGCTCCTTTAGACAGTGGTGCAATGATTAACTTTATCAATATTTCTTAGTACACTGTGAAAATGAGTCTGGAATAAATCCATAAAAATAGTATTACTAGCTCAACATATGTGCATTTGTAGTATGGCCTTCCAAACTGCCAAATACTTCCCAAAGTGGCTGTGTCAATTTATGTTCACACCAGTAATGCATGAGAATGTCTATTTCCCCATACCCGGGCCAAATTCTATCTTCCAACTTTTTGTTTTGTCCATTTGACAGGTGAAAAATTATAACTCGTTTTATTTTTGCCTTTTCTTATGAAATAGAATGGACATCTTTTCATGTTTAAAAGCAAAGTGAATTTCCTTTTCTGTGCGCTACCCATGTTCTTTGCCCTCCATTTGGTGGGTTTTTTCTACTGATTTATAAGCAAACTATAGCAGTATAAATAGGAAATCAGCCTGTCATACTTGTTGCAAAATTGTTTTCCCAATATGTTGGCTGACTTTTGATTCTGCTTGTGGTACGTTTTTTGGGCAGAAAATTTTAATATTTTCATCTATGGCTTCTGGGTTTTATATTATACTTACAAAGGTCTTTATCACTCAGATTATTTTTAAAATTCTCCCATGTTTTCTTCTAGTACTTTTTTTTTTAAAAAAAGATTTTATTTATTTGACAAAAAAGAGCACAAGCAGAGGGAGCAGCACGCAGAGGCAGAAGGAGAAGCAGGCTTCCCGCCGAGCAGGGAGCCCGATGCGGGACTTGATCCCAGGACCCTGGGATCATGACCTGAGCCGAAGGCAGATGCTTAACCGACTGAGCCACCCAGGCGCCCCTTCTTCTAGTACTTTTATGCTTTCATTTTTTACATTTAGGTTTTGCTATGTCTGGAATTAATATTTTGTTGTTATAAGTTCTTTAAAATTATTAAAAACACTAAAAAGAAGCCGCAAAAATAAAGTTCAAAAAATTACTTAAATGCAAGATATTATTTTGACATTAACAGTAATAAAAGCAGTAAAATATTCCACATTCTCCAATGACCTATCGCCTAGCTCCTGCTATTCACACAGAAGCACAAATGATTTTTTTTTTTTTTAATTTTTAGAGATCGAGAGCACGGGCAGAGAGGAGGAGAGGGAGAGAGAGACTCCCAAGCAGACTCCCGGTGGTAGAGCCCAAAGCAAGGTTCAATCCCAGGCCCCTGAGATCATGACCTGAACCAAAAACATGAGTCGAATGCTTAAATGATTAAGACACCCAGGCGCACCCACAAATGACTTTAATGTATAAATCCTGACCAACTGCATGCAATGAGCCTACCCAGAAAAGCAATGACAAAGTATTTAATGACCCCAAAGAGCTCGGGAACTACCGTGAAAATTTCCAAGTAGAGCAAAAACATACTTTTCTCCTACCTCAAGGAGTGTTGGGGGCCAGGGGAGGAGATTCCTCAAATGAAAGGGGCCTAGACCTCAAATGAGAATATAATGACTTCATAAATTGTTTTCTTACATCTGGAAATAGAGAATAAGGGGACGGGGGCACCTGGGTGGCACAGTCGGCAGAGAACCTGACTCATGGTTTTGGCTCAGGTCACAGTCTCAAGGTTCTGAGATCGAGCCTCGCCTGGGGCTTCATGCTCAGCACAGAGTCGGCTTCTCTCTCTCTCTGCTCTTCCCCTGTGCTCTTGTGTGTGCGCGCGCATGCTCTCTCTCTCTTAAAAAAAAAAAAAGAAGAAAAAGGAATACATATTACCCTGAATAACATACAACCTCCAATCTTAATATTTAAGAAAAAAGAATCATACAAATTCTGGGTACTAAAAACTGACATCAGTATTTGAGGGAAAGAGCTGTGCCACTGAATTCCCAGTGAACTGATCTCCTTGAGCCTCACAGTCTTCACAAATAAAATGGAGAAAATATACTGATCTTGTAGGGTTAGAATAAGGCCTAAGTTAGAGAATGTTTGTTAAGGGCTTAGCATAGTGCTAAGAGAGGCACAAAAACGGGTAGCTATAACTGCAATTATCAGTCCATTGCTGGGTTCCAGATTCTACTTCCCAGAACCTGTTTCTGAATTCCTAACTTGGTAGATACACAAGACCTTCTCCACAAGGCAGGCCCTGGCTCGACTCCCACTAAAGTTACCAGACTACTAGCTGAATCCTTCCTTCTGAAGTTCTGCTGTCTCCTGTCCACCATGTGGGCTTTGTACTCACGCTCTAATCCTATCCTCGGGGTACAAGATGTCCTGGATGGCAGCTTTGGCCTTGCCATATCGCAAGCGGGGCCTTCGGAAGATAGGCTCTCTCAGCGGGGGAAAGGCATTATATATGTCAAACCAGAGGGGCTTCTCATTCAACACCCCAGCTCGAATCAGGTCCCGAGTCCTTAAGGAAGGAAAAATAACGAAGGACAGTCAGTTACAACAGCCTGTCTAAGCCCCTGAATCAGTCTAGCACAGTCTGGGACATCAGTGGGATCACGGAGTCCACAAGACAGAACCGGAAGGAGGCCACAGCAGGGGTGTTCCCCACCTACAGTTAACACATTTCCATATTCCAAAGCGCCCTAACAAAGCTCAGGGGTTAAGTCCTATTTTTCTCATGTGCGTCCCACTCCCCTCGCCCCATCCCCGTCGCGTCGAAGAAAATACAAAGATGGCCCAGTCGGGCCCATCATCATCTTCCTAGAGAACTCCACTCGGGCAGGGGAGAGGTGCAATGTTGAGCGGGAAAGATACATTCAGGTAGTGGCGCCGTCAAGCACACCTATTCAGAGACAGGAGAGAGCACGAGCGGGCCTCACCCGGCTCAGACTCCCGCACTCCGGAGAAGGCCTCGCCCTGCTCTGACCCACCCAGAAAGAGCGTGAGCTGTCGAGGGCCCCCGTCCGGAGGAGGCACCCTCAGCCCACACCGGCTTCGACCACGCACCGCGAGAAAACGCTCCCCACGGTCTCCAGCCGGCTCCTCGCCATGGCGGCCGCCTCGGACGCTCGCGGCCTGGGACTACCGGAAGCGGAAGCGCCAGCGACAGGCGAAATGGGCGTAGGCTGCTGGCCGAGCCGAGGATCGCGGCGGTCTCTCCGCAGCCGCAGCCGGAGAGCCGAGCCAGGCAGAAGCAAAGGATGGGCCGAACAGGCGCGGCCCTCGCCCGCGGCCAGGTTCAGACGGGAGCACTCGACAGCCGAGCCGAAAGGGCGGGAGCGGGTCAGAGCCGGGCAGAAGCAATAAATGACCGAGCTAGAGGAGGGATTCACGCTGGCGCTTGCGTTAGTTACCCTTTCGGCTCTGGCGGAGCCAACTCCAGTCGAGAAGGTGGGGCGGCGCGGAGGGAAGATTGATGGGGAGGAAGGAGGCAGGCGCAGCCAACTAGGCCAGGACACACGTAAAGGCAGAGATGACAGGTCACACCGGGGCTAGGTCCGGACTATGCCTTACGTTGCTTGGAGACACAGACTGCGCAGAAGGAAACCGAGGCCGGGGACGGGCAGGCACTGGCCCAAGGTCACACTAGCGCCCGAGCCTCCGTCCTCCGTGCCCTGCTGTGCATCGCGCCCCGGGAGTCCGTTGGCCCCGGAGCTGCCTCCCGCATCCGCTGCCCTCGGGATGCTGCGGGGCAACTAGTATTTTCTCCGCGGGAGACGTCTCAGGCTCGCTCCTCCTTGGAGCTGGAAAAGCGAAAGTGAACAGAACAAATTCGGAGATGGGGACTCAGAAACCTGGGGAAAGTAACCTCTCAGGGTGACGTTTTGGTCCAATAATCATACTTTGGGTAGAGTACCCCAGAGAAATCAAAGCTCAATTTCCTTACTTGTGCAAAGATCGTCATTGCAGCATTGCAGTGGGGAAAAAAGTCAAATGGAAGGCTATGGTTCATATATCCTATGCAATCCTATGGAGCTATTACAATGAACAAGTTATGTCCCTATGTATTTACCTACATGCATGCCCATGACTAATAGTTAAATGAAAAAGAAAGTTGCAGAAAAACATTTTAGTGGGATCCCAACCTGTTCAAAGAAAAAAGAAAACACCTTTATATGTGTTTGTATGAAGATAGAAACTGTGTGGAAGGCACACAAGACTGTGAACATTGGTTATGTCCAATCTTGAGACTGCAAGAGAAGAATTTTTTTTTCTTTAGATATCCCTCAGAGTTTGACCTGTAAAGAGTTTTTATTCATATTTGAACTTTTTAATCCAATGAAATGTTTTGAATCACATACACACAAAATAGCTCCTGGGAGCCCATTATCATCTTTGTCAGCCAGAAGGAGCAGCAAGTCATCCCAGAGCCTTCCCACTCTATGGGAGGCTGGTAAGGAGGAGGGAAGTAATGTTTGAGGAGCAGTTACTGCTTGTTTGTGTTATCTTGGAATCCACATACCTACCCAGAAGGTAGCTATTATTAGTCTTATTATAGATGAGAAAGTGAGGCCACAGGGGGTGAAGTAACTTATCAGATACCTGAGTGACAGAGCCAGGCTTCCAGCAGAGGTTGGGCCCTTTCCAGAACCCACAACCCTCCTTAGTTATGCCTCAAGCTGGAGAGAGGTAGACCTACGGAGGTGGGACAAAGCTGGCCCCAGGCCTAGGGGCCAGGGTGACCCAAGGCCCAGGTTTACACTAAAAGGTGGGTTTCACTGTTGCCACAAGGCCCTGTGACTCAGGGAAGAGAGAACACAGTTCTGGCTGCTGGGCCAAGTGTAGAGATTCCAATCTCCCAGTCATAGGAAGGTCTGGAAGACTCTGCTTTAGGGAGAGCAAACATGCTCCCAGCTAAATATAGTCTTCCCAGCCTCATAACAAGTTTCTAATTCTGTCTAAGTCAGAGCTAGCCACAGACACACTTCCCCTCCCCCACTCGGACCTCCCCCCCAACCCCCTGACCTCCCCCCTCCCCAGGCCACTGCAGCGACTGCTGGTAAAGAAGTAGAAGGCTTTATTCCACAATCAGGGAGGAGAGCCAAGAACCCAAACCCTCAACAGGGGAGGAATTGCAAGGTGGGAATTTTTCCTCTAGATCTTCTTAAGAAAGTTCCTTTCTCTTCTGAGCCTTGAAAGTTTCCCCTCCGGCATCCTATTTAATGCCTCTGTGACTGAGACAGGGGAATGCTGGTGCGTAGATGGGAGGACCACGGGGATGTGGGAGCAAGATGAATCGGGAGCCCTCTGAGCCTGCAGCAGGAAGTGTGCGCCCCAGGGAGCGTTCATTCATGAAAGGGAAGAAGCTGTCAGGCAGCTGGGGGCAGGCAAACTGGACCTTAGAGGCTTCTGTCTTTTCACCCAGGACCTCTCAAGGCTGCAAGGGACTGATGCACTCGTGCCAAGCACTGCACCAGGAATCTGGATTGTCTTGTTCAACTGTTCAACTACCTGATGCCACAGGTAATGTCCTGGCGATCTTACACAGAGGGAAAGAGAACCTGTAAACTCTCCAAAAGGCCATATGCCTTCCACTACACTGCTCAACCCCTATACATGTGCCCACTAAGTAGTGTCAACTCTCTGTGTGGCTTGCTGCAAGAGTAGAAGCCTCCATTCGTTAAAGCCCGAATCGTAGCCCCGGGCACTTAGTGCTGGAACATGACAAGTCTGATGGCAGTTCCAGCATCATTGCTGCTCTTGTGCCCCGTAAGCCACCGACTGCCACCTGGGACTGCAGCATTTTGGTATTCCAACAACTGCCACTGTTGTTTTATTTTCTTGTTATATGACCCATTTCTCCCACAAGCATTTAAGCACCGACCTGACCCTGTGCTGAGTCCTGGAGAAGCTGACCGTCCGGTGGGGGAGACAGAGAAGCAAATTCATAATGGATAAGTTAGGTGCTGAATAGCATGTGGATTATAGTAGTCGGCTAGGGCAGCCATAACAAGGTACCACGGACGGGGTGGCCTCGGTACCGTACCAGAACTGTATTTTCTCACAGTTCTGGAGGCCGGAAGTCCGAGATCAACTTGGCAGGGCTGGTTCCTCCTGAGGCCTCTCTCCCTGGCCTGCAGATGGCCACCCGCTCCCTGTGTCCTCATGTGGTCTTCCCTCTGTGTCTGTGTCTTCTTCTTATGACACTGGTCATATTGGATCTGGGCCCAACGTAATGGCTTCATTTTAACTTCAATCTCTCTCTCTTTTTTTTTAAAGATTTTATTTATTTATTTGACAGAGAGAGACACAGCGAGAGAGGGAACACAAGCAGGGGGAGTGGGAGAGGGAGAAGCAGGCTTCCTGCGGAGCAGGGAGCCCAATGTGGGGCTCAATCCCAGGACTCTGGGATCATGACCTGAGCTGAAGTCAGATAGTTAACCGACTGAGCCACCCAGGTGCCCCCCACCTCTTCTTTATCTATTCATCAGTCAATGGACATTGGGGTTCTTTCCATAATTTGGCTATTGTCGATAGTGCTGCTATAAACATTGGGGTGCAGGTGCCCCTTTGAATCAGCATTTTTGTATCCTTTGGATAAATACCTACTAGTGCAATTGCTGGGTCATAGGGTAGTTCTATTTTTAACTTCTTGAGAACCCTCTATACTGTTTTCCAGAGTGGCTGCACCAGCTTGCATTCCCACCAACAGTGCAGGAGGGTTCTCACAAGGCAGCCTCTTCACACACAGCTCTGTCCCCAGGTTCCAGTCCCTGTTCCCTCCCCCGCCCCCACAGGCCTAGTTTCAGCAAACTGTGCCCCTCTGTCACTAGCCAAAGGCTCTAGGCCATCTTTTATGGCTTCCCGACACTCTGCCTACCTCTTTATGAAGAGTGCCCTTATTTATATATAGTGCCTGGGAGTGTGTCAGACAAAAAGAGACAAAGCACCCCCACCAGCAGAACGGCCTTGGTAAGTAAAAATCCCAGCATATTGATGAAATCATTAATACCGCTACTCACCTTTGGCAGAGGGCCAGGGTCAGGGAGAAATTAGCTGCTTGCCTTAAAAGAGGAGGAAAACAATATATTCAGTACAAAGTACTGGGACCAGGAGGATGAAAGACAAGGAGGGGGATGTTCAAGGAGGAGGCAGGAGTACCATCTCCCCACCACCCCCCCCACGCTGTTGTGCGCTCTGTCTTCTGGCCCAGCATGCTCCTCAGAAGCCCACACCTCCCCTTCCTTTCAAGAGCCAGCCAGCAGGGCACTTAAGCCCCCAGCACACATTCTGCCAAACTCTGCTCCCTCCCTCCCTGAACTTATCCCTCTCAAAATGTGGTGTTGTGACTCTGTTTACTTGTCTGAGTCTCTACCTGGGCCTCTCTGAGGGCAGGAACTGGGTCTCCTATCTCTGCCTCCCCATACCCAGCCTGCTGCTTGGCCCAGAGCTGACTCTCAAGAGTTTTCTAATGAACAACATGGATGAATAAAGCCAAGTTCGCACAAATGAGGATGGAGCCATCCCAGCCACCCTTCCTGGAGGCCTTCCTCAGATACACTCTGGATGTATGGGCAAAAGCTGTGGTTGAATGGAAATAATCCTCCACACCTCCCCCCGCCCCCATGAACCTGGTCATTTCTAGTTCTGGCTATCCTCTGTACCTCACTGACAGATCCATTTTACAAACCCCTGGGCCTCAGCTTTGTTATCTGCAAAATGGGCATAATCGTAGCACCCACCATAGAGCCTTGTTGTGAGGAGTCAGTGGGTCAGTATCTTCAGAATATTAAAACAGTGCCTAGCATACAGGCTCAGTAAATAAGATGATGATGTTTTCTGACCATTCCACATTTAAGAGCAACGAATCACAATTTATTAATCACACCTAACAATTTGCAAAGCATGTTCACACAGCCGCCCATTCATTTCTTCTGCCAGCAGTCTTGCCCACAACAAGAATCCAGTTCGAGCAGAGGAAAGAGAAGCACTTTATGCCTTTACCCACTCTGCATCACCATGGCTCCTTTTGTAGCCAAGAAAACAGGAGCCAGCTGGGCCTGAAGCAACAATCTGGCCTTTTATTATTAGAATTAAAGAGCAATTGGAATCACTCTGGAGCTTTCCCAGCAGAGGATGCGACCCTTGA